CCCCAGGGGTGGCTCCCGGGAGTCCTGGGAGGGAAAGTGTGTGCACGGCACACTGCTGTCACGTTTGGGCCAGCCCCGGGCACAAGCTGGGGGCGGAGAGAGGCAGGCCTGAGTGGCTCTGGGATGGGCTACCTCCTAGCGCAGCTCTGGGATGGGCTACCTCCTAGCGCAGCTCGCTGGGGTTGCGGAGTCCAGGGCACCAGTCTGGAATGTGTCTGGCCCCGTTCGGGGGCAGGGGTTGGTGTTAGGAGCGTGGGAGTCTGGAGGCTGGGGTATGGTGGCGTTCACTCCCTGTGACCAGCGAGGGGAGAGGGGGACGCCCCGCACAGCAGCAGCCTCAGGACCTGGCTTTGGTGGTGCTACGGCCAGTGTCTGTCTGGTGGCTCAGGGACCGGCCGTGCCAGCTGTTCAATGTTTCCACTGTCCCCCCTCAAGAGTAGCTATTTGGGGTGACTTCAGCCTTAGAGTCCTTCTCGGAAACATGCCTTGCACCGGGCGTGGTGGCTCACACCTGTGGTCCCAGCACCCTGGGAGGCCGAGGCTCGCTTGAGCCCAGGAGTTTGAGATCAGCCTGGGCAACATAGTGAGACCCCGTCTCTACTAAAAATAGAAAAAATTAGCCGGGTGTGGTGGCACGTGCCTGTAGTCCCAGCTACTCAGGAGGCCGAGGCACGAGATCGCTGAGCCCAGGGAGTTTGAGGCTGCAGTGAGGGGTGACAGAGCCACTGCTCTCTGGGTAACAGAACAAGACCTTGTCTCAAAAACTAAATTAAATTTATATATATATATATATATGTGTGTGTATTGCTGTGCTTGGCTACCATGATGGAGTCGGTGGCCACACTTGTGCCGTAGGACGCTGCCTCCTGGTCACAGGTGACTGGACGGAGGGCACAGTGAGCCACTCAGCCCCTCTGCTGGGACCGGGGCCTCTGGGGCTGGGGCGGCCGTCACGTGGGCTGAGGTGTTCAATGTTCCCCAGCACTGCTCTCTTGTGGGCCCGCCCTGGTCTGATGCGGCAGCTGTGGATGAAGCGGCAAGATTGCCTCCCAGGACGTTTGCCTCTCTTGCTCAAAGTGCCTCTGAGTGGCTTTCTCTTTCTTGCAGTCCCAGGAGCCTTAATGAAAGCATGGTCACAAAGGTCGATCTGTGTGGCTCTGCATTAACAGAGGTATAGAGTCTAGAATAAGGGAGGTGAAAGCCCCTTTCTGCTCTGTTCTGTCCCGGATCTGCCCGAAGGGTCATGTTGGCTCGTAGCTATGGGATGCTGCTGGGGGTCGTGGCACTCGGCGTGGAGTGACTTCAGGGATAGGCAAGCGCTGGGAACCGCTGGTCATGTGGGTGTTTCCGCTGGACAATCCTGGAGCTCGGGTCCGTGCCTTGATTTCTTTGGTCAACCAGCGTCCACGGCGCCCCCCGGGAGCCTGACCGCTGAGGACTCACTGCAGGTGGCCGGGGGCCCACTGTGCACCGGGTCACCCACAGACAGACCAGGCCCCTGTGCTCCCGGAACTCACAGTCTCGAGGAGAGAGATGGGAACTAGTAAATAAAGGATAATTCAGGGCCGGGCACGGTGGCTCACGCCTGTCATCCCAGCACTCTGGGAGGCCGAGGCGGGAGGATTGCCTCCAGCAGGAGGTTCGAAACCAGAGCCTGAGCAAGAGCAAGACCCACGTCTCTACTATAAATAGAAAGAAATTAATTGGCCAATAATATATATATATATAAATTAGCCGGGCATGGTGGTGCATGCCTGTAGTCCCAGCTGCTCGGGAGGCTGAGGCAGGAGGATCGCTTGAGCCCAGGAGTCTGAGGTTGCTGTGAGCTAGGCTGACGCCACGGCACTCTAGCCCGGGCAACAAAGTGAGACTCTGTCTCAAAACAAATAAATAAATAATAAAGGATAATTCAGATGAGGAAATAAAACCTCGACCATGCGCCTGAGTGACTGGGGAACTGCGTATGTCCGAGGGGTCAGGGAGGCCTCTCAGAGGAGGTGACGTGAGCTGAGACCTGAAATGGCAAGACGGGGCTGCCACGGTGTGATCTGAGGGGAGAGTGGCATGTGCAAAGGGCCTGCGGCAGAGACGACGGTGGTGCCCTCAGCTGGAGCGGGTTGAGGGAGGCGGGGAGGCAGGCAGGCCCCATCGCTCCGGGTCTGGGGAGCCGCGTGCCGTGAAGGTGAGGGGCGTACTGTCACCTGCTCCACCCGGCCTCCAGCTGGCCCAGCTGGTCCAAACCCAGGAGTGTGGGCGGGAAAAGGCTGCCCAGTCTGCACTCAGGCCGGGTCACTCCCCTTTCAGCTCTGAGCAGCCCCCGGGAGGCTGGCCGGCGTGGAGGGTGAGTCAGCAAGGCACCGAGCTCGGGGAGAACGGTCAGCGGTTGGCTGGTGCCAGGACTTCCTTCTCCACACCCAGCGGGTGCCCCCTCCTCCCGGCGCCTGCTGGGACGGGCAGCCCTCTGCTCCCTCCCGGGCAGGGCTAGCTCCGTGGCCACCGCTGCTCTTCAGAGATGCTGCCGGGGTGGGGCGGGGGTGGGGGGCTGGGCTGAGTCCCTCTGGTCTGGGTCTGAGGCTTCTCACGCTGGCCTCATCCCGCGAGGCTGCTGCTGTGGTCAGGGCCTCCAGCCTCCATCGGTTTCCCTCTCGTCCCTCCCAGCATCCCTCCAGGTTTCCCTCCCGTCCCTCCAGGTTTCCTTCCCGTCCCTCCAGGTTTCCCTCCCGTCCCTCCCAGCATCCCTCCAGGTTTCCCTCCCGCGTCCCTCCAGGTTTCCCTCCCTCCAGCTGGGCTCCAGTTTCACAACCCAGAGGGGGAAGGCGAAACCGCTGACTGTCTTGTAAAATGTGGGCTCGTTTGGCAAATGTCAGTGACTACTCAGCTGTCTTCACCCCCACTCCCTCACCACCGGCCGTCAGAGGGCTCCCGGCCTCGGGACCCTGGGGTGCCTGTCCCCATGGCGGGCCCCGACACTAACCGAGCTCTCGGCAGGCTGCTGCAGACCCCGGTCTAGAGCACGCTGGGCTCCAGCAGAGCTGGACGTGGCCTTTGCCGGAGCAAGTGGAGCCGGCGGGCCCATCCCAGGCGGGCAGGCGGGCAGGCGGGCGTGAGAGGGCAGTTACTCGGGGCCAGCATGGCCAGAGGATGAGGGCGAGGGCTTGTCTGTCCCCGAGGGTCACAGCTGGTGCACTTGGCGGCTTTGAGCACCTTACTTTGTGCAGCTGCCGCTTCTCAGGTGCGGCCCCTAACGCAGTCGACTCACCTGACCCTCATAGCTCTGCGGGCTGGGCGGCCCCTCGTGTCCCAGACAAGAAGGTGGTTGAGGGCCCCGGGGTCCGGTAGTTTGTCCAAGTGCCCGAGGCGGGGAGGGACGCGGCCGGGCAGCCGCAGGACTCGGCTGTCACAGGCCTGTGGGTCGTCCAGCCTCAGGGCTGCCGGGGACCAGGCTGGCGCCAGCACTAGAGCACAGCGAGGCAGCGGTGAGTACCGGCTTCCTCCCGCGGGCCAGCCCGGGCTCCGCTGCTAACTTGGGGCTGAGAAAGGAAGGGGGGTTCCCACCCATTGCCAAGAGGGACGGGCTCTTGGGGGCAATAGTCTCCGGCAGAGCCCACTCTGTGCCCAGATGGCCTGGGTTTGCGGGCCGGGGCAAGCAGGCAGACACTGGTTTCTGCCGGTTGGCTCTGTTCTTTGCGCCTGGGACAGGGTGCGGGGAGACAGGGGAGCACGCACCCAGGGAATTGAACAGCTCCCCAAACCTTGCAAAATCTCTGGCCAAGGGTCAGGAAAACAACAAGCTGAAGGAACACAGACTGTGGCTGCCTCGGGGAGGGGCCCCGCGTGCAGAGGAAGGCTAAGAGCTGACCGATTGGAATTTACTTTAACCATGCAGGTTTCTTAAATTTTTTTATTGCGGTAAAAATACATACGTTTGCCATTCTAACCATTCTTAAGTGTATAATCCAGAGGCATTAAGCACATTCATAATTGTTGTATAGCTACTACTACTATTTCCAGAACTTTTTCATCATCCTAAAGAGAAAATGCTCCTCATTAAACGGTAACACCTGCTCCCCTCCCCCAGCCCCTGCTGCGCTCCCTTCTACTCTCGGTCTCCACGAATTTGCCCACGAGATTTTTTTTTTTTTTTTTTTTTTTTTGAGACAGAGTCGGGCTTTGTTGCCCATGGCTATGAGTAGGAGTTGCCGTGGCGTCCAGCCTAAGCTCACAGCACCATCCATTCCTGGGCTCCAGCCAAATCCCTCCTGCCTCAGCCTCCAAGTAAGTTGGGACTACAGGCACTGCGCCACCTATGCCCGGCTAATTTTTTCTATAATATTTTTAGTTGTCCAGCTCATTCTTTCGCTATTTTTTAGTAGGACAGGGTCTCGCTCTGCTCTGGCTGGTTTAGAACTCCTGACCTTGAGCGATTCCTCCCGCCTGGCTCCCAGATGCAGGGATTACAGCGCCTGAGCCACCTCGCCTCGGCTGCCCATGAGATTTGTAACCAGTGGAAGCGTTACAGTATTTTCCTTTTGCTGTCTGGCTCGCAGCCGCTCGCGAAGAGCACGTGGGAGGTCAAACGCACGGCCTAGCGCGTACCAGAACCTGTTCCTTTTTATGGCCAAATAATATTCCATCACATGGACAGACCAGATTCTGCTCACACAGTAATCCATTAGTGGACGCTGGGCTGTTTCCTGTTAAAATTAATGTGTAAGCATAAACAAAGTCCTGATGATGGTATCCTTGGGGAGAAGTTAACAGCTAAGTGGTACAGCTCAGTCTCCTCTGACCATGTTGCTCTTCCAAGACTAAATTACTGTTTTACTTTACCTTTTATCTATTTATTTTTTTAGAGACAGAGTCTCACTCTGTTGCCCAAACTAGGGAGTGGCTGTGGCGTCAGCCTAGCCTCACCAGCACCTCAAACGCCTGGGGCTGAGCAATCTCCTGCCTCAGCCTCCGAGTAGCTAGGACTACAGGCACGTGCCACCATGCCCGGCTAATTTTTAGTTGTCTGGCTAATTTTCTTTCTATTTTTAGTAGAGACAGGGGTCTTGCTCTTGCTCAGGCTGGTCTTGAACTCCTGACGTTGAGGGATCCGCCCGCCTCGGCCTCCCAGAGTGCTAGGATCACAGGCGTGAGCCACCACGCCCGCCCCTAAATTACTGTTTTAAACGATAGCAGTGACACGTTCAGCAAGGACTCGGAACCCAGGCTGGTGGAAGAGAGGTGGCCTCGGATGAGAAGTAGGGAAGGCTGGGCTCAAGGCCTGTTTTGCCCCTTGGCAGACGCTGTCCCGCGCTGGCCCCTGATATCCTTTTCTGCAAAAGAGGCTGGATGAGAACATGGCCCGAATTCCAGGAACGGGCTGTGGGCTGGGCGTCTGTGGAGGAGTAGCCGGACTGGCCGGCTCCCCTGCCTCTTCCGCCTCTCCCGGCCTGGCCAGCCGGCAAGTCGGGCAGATGTTTTCAGAGGATCTGTCCCCGTTTTGCTACTTTTATTTTGTGAATAGGCGGTATGTGTGTGTAGCAAAACATTAAAACAGGCCCGGCACGGCGTGGTGGCTCACGCCTGTCATACTAGCACTCTGGGAGGCCAAGGCAGGAGGATCCCTTGAGCTCAGGAGTTTGAGACCAGCCTGAGCAAGAGCAAGACCCCGTCTCTACTAAGAATAGAAAGAAATTAATTGGACAACTAAAAATATATAGAAAGCCTGGGCGCAGTGGCTCATGCCTATAATCCTAGCACTCTTGGAGCCTGAGGCGGGAGGATTGCTCAAGGTCAGGAGTTTGAAACCAGCCTGAGGAAGAGCGAGACCCCGTCTGTACTATAAATAGAAAGAAATTAATTGGCTAACATATATAGAGAGAAAAAATTAGCCAGGCATGGTGGCGCATGCCTGTAGTCCTAGCTATCGGGAGCTGGAGGCAGGAGATCGCTTGAGCCCAGGGTCTGAAGGTTGCTGTGATGATCTAGCTGACACCATGGCACTGCAGACCTCGTGGCCTGGGCAACAAAGCAAAGACTCTGTCTAACAAAAAAAAAAAAATATAAAAGATAAAATATATGTATGATAAATGATTAGCGGCGATGGTGGCATATGCTGAAAAAAAAATATATAGAAAAAAATTAGCGGGCATGGTGGCGCATGCCCTCAGTCCCAGCTCTTAGGGGCTGAGGCGATAGGATTGTTGAGCCCAGGAGGTGTTGAGGTTGCTTGTGAGCTCTAGGCTGACATACATGGCATTCTAGCCCGGGCACAGCAGTGAGACGCTGTCTCAAAAAACAATTCAGGCTGGGCGATGGTGGCTCGGCTTGTATTCCTAGCATCTTCCCTGCGAAGGCGAGCGGGAGGATTGCTCAAGGTCAGGAGTTCGAAAACCCAGCTGGCAAGAGCAAGATCCCGTCTTCTATACAAAAAGTAGAAAGAAATTAAGTTGGCAACTACCAATATATAGAAAAATTTAGCTGGGCGATGGTGGGGTCACATGTTTTGTAGGTCCCAGGTTACTGGTGAGGCTGAGGGCAAGGAGGATCGCTCTTGGAGCCAGAGTTGGAGGTTGCTGCTGAGCGTAGGCTGATCACCACAGCACCTCTGTAGGCCCCGGGCAACATGAGTCGGACTCTGTTCAAAACCACTAAAACAGCACAAAAGCAGTAATTCCAGAGAAATCATGTCTCCCTCCCCACCTGAGCCCCGCCCTCTCACGCGTTGGCAGGTTGCAGCTTTTGGGCTGCGCAGTGAGTAAGCTCCTGCCCAGTTGCAACATTGTATCTTAGAGGGTCCACATTGATACACAGAAAGTGCCCTGATTTTCTTTAAGCTGCTATCAGAATACTCCACTGCAAGGTGAGTGTATTTGTTTGTGAATCCATTCCGCAGGCATGGTAGTTTGTTCTCTCACCTTTTGCTACTTTGACAATTCTTGGGCGCATGCATTCGGGTGTGGGGCGAGTTCTGAGACTTCCCCGTCTCCCTGCAGAGACTGCTGGAGCCAGACCAGAGGGTGGGGCTGCGAGAGAGAGTCAGAATTTAAACACACACTTCCCATGAAAGTCTGCATTTCTGCGTTTTTTTTGTTGTTGTTGTTGCTCTAAGTTGGAGGGCCTGGGTTTGTGTTTGGGCTCACACCCACCAGCTCCCTCCCTGGCGCCCCTGAGCCATGCCGCCCACCCACGGAGCCCCTCTTCCTTTCTGTGGCCCCTCAAGGGCAAAGGCCAAACCGAGGGGCCCAGACCAGCCTCTCCGCCAAGGCGACAGCAGGTGCTTGCCGAGGTCACTGCTGTCTTACCGCCAGGTGCGCAGGGCAGGCGCGGCTGGAACCCGGGCCTCAGCCCCGTTCAGGCCACGCGCGGACCAGCAGCCCCACGGTCGCGCCGTCGTCCCCGCGGTCCCCAGGGGGCGCTACGTCCTCGCGTCTCCGCGAGCAAAGCGAAAGTCGCCCGGGCCACGCGGGCGCAGTTGCGCGTGGGGTGCTCCCTGGGGACCCAGGCCCGGGCAGCCTTCATGTGGCCCCCGCCCGGCCACCGCGGGGCGCAGCGCCCCTTGCCCACCCCACGCGCTCCCAGGCGGCGGGGCCAGGCTGCGAGGTGGGGTCTCCCTGGCGTGAGCGGACTGGGGTCTCCACCCGACGTGCCAGCTCAGGCCTGGGGCAGGGGGGTGCGCTGGCCGCTGGGGGGCTGCCGGGGCGCGCCGTGCCGTCAGGGGAGACGCGGGGGCGGGCACGCCCGGGAGGGCGGGCGTGCGGGGGCCGAGCTTATAAAGGCCCGCGGGCGGAGGGCGGGAGCCACGAGCCGCGTCCGGCCCAGCTCGGCCTCGGACACCCGCGCTGCGCTCCGCCGAGGGGCAGGCTGAGCCGGAGCGAGCGCGGCCGGGCGGAGGAGCAGGAGGAGGAGGCGCAGTCGCCGGGGTCCCGGCCCGGCGCACGGCACGTGCGGCGACCCGCCCCAGCACCATGGCGCGCCGGCCCCCGGGCCCCAGCACCGCCCCTTAGCGCCCCGCACGGCCCGCGCCGGCCGCCAGGCATGGAGCCGCACGTGCTGGGCGCCGTGCTCTACTGGCTGCTGCTGCCCTGCGCGCTCCTGGCCGGTGAGTGGGCGCGGGAGTCCCGGGGCGCGCGGGCCTGGGCGCCCGCATTCCAGACGCCTGAGAGCGCCGGGCAGGAAGGGCGGCGGCGGGCGGGGAGAGCGCCTGGGACGGGGCCGGCGAGGGGGTCGCTGGCCCCTCTGGAAGGGCAGGCGGTGGTGAGGGGAGCGCGAATCTCTTTTTCTCCTTGGTGTCTAAAAAAAAAGAAAAGCGCAAACTTCAGCAGGACTTCCTGACCAATCTGGGAGAAGGCGGGCTTCCTGCCCGGAGCTGTTGAATTTGGAGCCTGCGGAGCAGACTAAATAACGTCTGTGCCCTGGGTGGGCCCGGTTCCCCGCACCCCCAGGCCGTGCGGGGCTGGGCAGCCTGGCACTTTGGGAAAATAGCTCGGGCTCTTCCCAGCCCTGCTGGGCTGCGTTTCCCAGGGGCTGGGCAGGCCTCTGCCTCGGGCGTGGGGAGGGGCCACCCCCAGGAAGCTTTGGCCTGGGTCAGCTGGGGGTTCCCAGCCCCTGCCGTGGATGTCCCCTGCTAGCCGAGTAGCCCCTTTCGCAAAGCGCGTAGGTGTGGCCGTGTGGCTCTGGCTGCTCCAGGGCCTGGAGCCCCCACCCGCCCCCTCCCTGCGGCCGCCCGCGCAGGGCAGAGGGCCCAGGAGCTCGCTCTGCCCTGCCATGTGTGACGGAGCTGGCAGGCCGTCCGGTTAAATTACTCCACGGAAAGATGGAATAGTTCGCGTTAGTTTGAAAGTCTGTTGTGTGGAAACCGTCAGTGCCCCGCGGGCGGGGGTGTTTGTTATCCTGGAGGCCTTTCCAGAGCTAATGCCATCCTCCTCACTCTAGGTAGGCGGCCGCTTGCGGCGGCTCCAGGGGCGCGGGGAGGAGCCCCCACCTGAGCTCCCAAAAACCACCACGCGGTTTTATTTGTGGCACATTAAGGTGGTGAAACTTGGGGGGAAACATTCTAGGCAGGGGTCAGTCAGAGCCAGTGGGGTTGAAAGGAGGGTTTGGGGGAAGTTTTGTCCGGTTGGGTCGGTTGCTATGATAGGACAGAGCAGCCCCGGGTCCTCTCAGGAGAGCAGGGCCTGGCCGGCAACAGCGGGCCTGTTTCCACCCCCTGCACCCTGGGGAAGCAGGATGGGCAGAAACAAGTGGAAGAGGCCAGCCCTGGGCAGGGCAGGGCTGAGATCTGACACAGCAGGGGGAGGGGGCAGGTACCGTGTTTCCCTGAAAATAAGCCCTACCCATAAAATAAGCCCTCGCAGGATTTCTAGGCATTTGCGCAATAGAAGCCCTACCCTGAAAATAAGACCTAGTGACGGGCGTGGCTACGCAGCGCGTCTGCACAACCCGTGCGTTTGGTTGAGGAGCGGGAAAGAAGACGAGCAGCCCTTCTCATCCGCCCCGTGAGAGCTCTGGAGCTTGACATGAGAGATCGGGGCCGATGGTTCTAAAGGAAATAGAGTCGCAAGAAATTCAGGATGGAATTCGGGGTTTGGAGAGTTAGGGTGATGTTCCAGAAGATGACGACCTCACTCTATTTGAATAAATGTAGATGGTTGTACCGTACTTAAAAAACAAAAAAACAAAAACATCCCCTGAAAATGAGCCCTAGGGTGTCTTCTTGAGGAAAAATAAATATAAGCCCCTGTCTTGTTTTCGGAGAAACACGGTACGTGTCTACAAGGCGCAGGGTTTCTCTGACTGCCCCTCAGGCCGCTGCAGCCTCAGCCTCCAGCATTTCCAGGTGGGGAGTGAGGATGGGACAGGTGAGCTTCCCTCTTCCCCCCTAGTCCCTGAGTGGGGTGGGCCTCCTTCCTGGGGGCGCACCCCGCTCTCTGTCGGCGTTGGCTGCTCCTTGAGCACAGTGGCCAAGATTTCCTCTAAAGGGCCGGATGGTAAATATTGTCACGTCACGAGTTCTTCTTCTTCTGATATTTTTTCCAGCCATTATAAAGATGTAAAAACCACTCTTAGCGTGTGGGCTGCACCAAAACCGGTGGTGGGGCCAGATTCCGCAGGCGGGCAGGACGCAGTTTGCTGCTGCCCCCTGGGAGCTAGCCTGGGGCCTCGGTTCTCCTGGCCGCCCAGCCGCTGCCCACCCAGCCGGCCTGGAGCCCCCCGTTCTCTCGCCGCCTCCGAGGGGCCTACGGGGAGCCTGTGCTAGCTCGGGTTCCCCCGCCCAAGGCTACGTGTCCGGGTCACCTGGGAAGCTTTTTAAAATACTGATGACTCACTCTCTGCACAAAACTTTCCACGAACCTAAAACTGCCCCCAAATAAAGCCTATTAATTTTAAAAATACTGCAGATGCCCGGGCCACACCCTACATTGATTCTGCGCCTGGGCGGGGAGTGAGGGCTCCAGCATTTTCGGTTGAGCTGCTGGGGAGGGGGAGGTAGAGCCAGCCCAGGAGCCCTGCCTGGGTGACACCTGGCACTTGGTGTCTGGCTGTCCGGCCCCGGGGCGTGGGCAGCTCCCCGGGACGAGGGGTAGAACACTCGCTCTGTTGTCTTCCGGGCTCCTCTCTCCCCGGTGAGTGCTGGCTCCTCGCGGCCAGTTGTGCACTGTTTTGGAAACGAATAAAGCAGGTCTTCAGAGGGCGTTTGTCAGAGGCTGGGCTGGCTCAGGCAGCACCGTGGGGAGGGTTTGAGTCACACCGGGCTGTCCCTGCCCTGCTCCCCGGGCAGCCCTACTACCCGACAGGCCTGGGGAGGGCTGTCCCCGGAGCTGGGGGGACGTACAGAGAGGCGTCAGGGCAGGACATTTTGTGACATTTTGTGATTTCGTGCGGACAGGACCACACCCCTCGGGGGAGGCCAGAAGCATAAACGGCACAGCAGAGGGGCAGGTAGCAGGCAGCGGAAACCGAGTCACCCACTTCGGCAAACACGTGCGGCGTGACAACCTTCTGCTTTTCGGGGTGCCTCGAGGCCCGGCCCAGCGGGGCACACCCACCAGCACACACCTCGGTCCCCCGGGCTGGCCGGCCTCTCGCCAAGAGGCAAGCGCCAGTTAGAGCGGAGGGCACTTCCTCCTTTTCAGACCCGTGTCAGTGTCCCGCCGCCCGGGCGGCAGACAGGAAGGGCTGCCTTCTGCCTCGGCAGCGAGAAAACGGGCCTTGGGGACAGCGGGGACGTGGTCACCGCCACTCGGCAGCCACGTGGGCCGCTCCTGGTGGGGTGAGGTGAGAGACCCGCCCCGCGGGCTGAGTCACGGGGATTTCGGAGAAGGCCAGCTTTGCCACCCTTGGCAGGCGACCCGTGCTGGGGGCTGTGCCCTGCGGGGCCACGCTCTGCCGGTGCCTCCGGGAGGAAGGGCACCGAATCCGGCAGTCGCGGGCAGTGGGCGCCGCCTGCCCTGAGCATCCGCCTCCTGGACCGGCACGTGGGGGCTGCCGGCTCGCGGTAGCGAAGGCCGCGTGCGCGAGTGTGCACGCGTGTGCATGTTGGGGAGGGGCCGGGGCCTGCCCAGGAGCGGCGAGTGGTCGTCCTGCAGGTGTGGTTGTGGGCCCAGCACACAGGGGACTTCAGGGGAAGTGTCTTTGCTGGGGGCGGGCGGAGGTGCCCGGTCTCTGATCCCGGCCCCAGGCTGCTTCCTGGGCGGTGTCTGCTTACGTGGCTTTAATTCTGCTTTCTGTTCTGGAAGATGGAGGGCGACAGGCCCCGTCCCCACGCCGGCAGGCCTCCCCTGCCCCGCTGCCTGCTCCGGGGATGGGTGGGGGGTGTCCTCCCCCTGCCACTTCTGTCCCCAGGGCCCAGGGTGGGCCCACTCTGGCCCTCAGAAAGCCCCCTTTTCAATTCTGCAAGATGTTGGTTTTCGGCTATTTTAGGGATATACAATTAGACATTCGCTTCTTTGTATATGTTTTTTCTCGTGGATGGTAAAGCGCTTTGTACTTCCTCATGACCTGGAGTCCAGGCATTGTAGGAGCAGGTAACATGGTGGCACAGGTAGGCACAGGTGCTCGCTGAACATAGGCCCTGTGTTTTCCTCAGGGGAGCAGCAGTGACTGCAGCTCCTGCTCATCTCGGCCCCAGCTGGGCCCGGGGGCCTGAGTCCCCCATGCCTGCTGTCCTCCCTCCCACTCTTTTTTTTCTTTTTGAGACAGTCTCTCGCTCTGTTGCCCGGGCTAGAGTGCTGTGGCGTCATCACAGCTCACTGCAGCCTCCAACTCCCGTGCTCAAGCGATCCTCCCGCCTCGGCCTCCCAGAGTGCTGGGATTACAGGGGGGAGCCACCGGGCTGGCCATCCGCTGTCCCACACTTAACCTTTGACCCCCTCCGCCAGCCTCAGAGTGCAGCGTGTTTTAGCCTATTCTGTGGATCAGGAATCTGGGGTAGGGAAGTTAATTCTCTCGCCTGGGATGGCAGGAGGGCTGACAAGCCCAGGTTGAGGTTTCTTCCTTCCCCGGGTGGGTGGGTCCCACAC